CAAGTATAAGACGAAGACTGTCATGCAAGCATTTGAAGAATCAAGTCTCAAGGGACAATTCAAGCATCGTCTATAATCATACAAAGAGCTCTCAATATGTTCGCGTGCTGGAAGGAAAAGAAGAAGAAGAAGAAATGCAAGCCCAAAAGTCAAAGCATGCGTGTGTCAGAAAAAGTACATTATTTTTTTAGATAAAGACAATGTCTCTACAACTACGGTGACTGAAAAAGGACAAGAAATTCCTAGGTCACAGTTAAAGTCAGACACTGCAGCTAACAAAAACTTAGAAGACTTCACGCAATGTCTATAAACAGACCGCAACATTTAATGCAAAATCAAGTGCATTAAATGAGAAATCGAACTAGTCATGAACGACTACATTCTGCTTCAACAGATACTTGCAACGGGCAGATTTTATAGAGGCTATAAATATGTCATGACTCTAAACCTGGAATGATTGGTGAAGAGTGATTCCAAGCCCAAGAAGCAACGAAACCAGAGACAGAGCATACATAGTCAAATGTACAGTATTGTATTTATCTCTGTAAACTAAGGAGTTCTAAGTGTAACATAGGAACATAAACCTTAGTGAGTGTAGTAAATCTTTGTATCATCTCTGTGAGAGTAAACCACATACTCAAAACAAATTATTTATCATTTGTAAAGCCTGAAGAGGCTAGGGAAAGGATAGAGAGGCTTGTCAAAGAATCCTCATTGAGATCTTGAAGAGGCTGAACAAAGAATACTAGCACTAATGAGTGAAGTTAGCGGGCCAGGAGTGGTCGATAATCCTCACTAAGAGGCTGAAGAGGTTGAACAAAGAATACTAGCGCCAATGAGTGAAGTTGGCGAACCATGAGTGGTTGATAATACTCGGGAACTAGGAGTGGTTGAGAATACTCACTAAGAGCTTGAAGAGCCTGAACAAAGAACACTAGTGCTAAAGAGTGAAGTTGGCGGGCCAGAACTGGTCGATAATACTCGGTAAACCAGAAGTGGTGATAATACTTGTACATAATTAAAAATCTAGTGGAACCCTTCAATTGAAGGAGACTGGAAGTAGCTTAGTCTGAGCGAATGAATATAAAACTCTTTGCACTATTTTACACTTCTTAGACGCAAATTATTTATTTGGTATTTCATACTGAAAATCTTTCTCACTGCTTATTTCACACTACAACAGCTTTCAGATGGAAAACATCTCTTGTTTAACTTATTATTGCAAGAAACACTCTCGTGCAGACGATAAAACTTGCAGACGCAAAACTCTTTTAAATGTTATATTAAAAGTAAACGTGAGATGCATCTTGAGTTTGAAAATGTTAGTATGAAACATGAAAAATCCTTTTATGCGAAAAGATTTCTTTAAACCTTCACACACATATATTTAACCCCCCCTTCTATGTGTTTTTCCTCTAACTTCATTCCTAGTTCTTAAGAAATTGTTATAAAAAAATAATGAAAATAAATCTCAATTTAATTAATGTTATCTATAAGGGCTATGATTTTTAAAACCTTCTTTTTTTAAATCCTACACACACCACATCACTGAATCTTGAAATAAAAGCATTTGAGTAAGATTATTGGTTTAGTTAAAATATATGTTAAAATTAAGTTCTCATTAACACTCACTACACTTAATTACTGGAGAATTTTTTATTTTAGAGTGCCTAAAAAATATATTAAAAAATTATAAATTAGAAGAAAAAAAATTGGCTAAACACCCATTTGAAGCCATAGGTTATTAGAATGATTTTTAGTATCTTTAAAAAAAATTATTGGGGGAATGCTTAGCCACAAAAGCTCCTAATTAATAATCCTTTAAGATTTTGTGTGGCAAGTACAAAGCATTTAAGTGAAAGACCCAAGCATGGTGGGCAGGTTAGTGTTTTCTTAGTAGGGATGACAAAACGGGTCGCAACTCGTGAACCGACTTGCTAGCCCGCCAAAAAATGGCAGATCAGGCCAATCATTATGGCCCACAAACCCACCTAGCCCGTCAACCCATTGGGCCAAATGATGGAGTGGGACAGGATGGCCTGTTGGCCCACCAACTTTTTTTTAATGTATAATAGGAGTCTCCTTGTATATTGGGGTGCCCAAACCTTACACTCAGTATTGGTCCAAGACCAAGAGAGGGGTTACATTCAATAATTGTGTTTGTGCTTGATTTGTGAAGCACTATTAGTAATTTCTAATTTGTATTTGATTTGCTTGTAAGTTGTAATTTGTAAGTTTGTAATATGAATTTGTTGAGCAAACATACACTATGCATTTTCAATTTTAGGAGCTTGAACTGATTTAGATTTTGTAAAACCTCATTTTTCCAAATTTTTTTATGCAAGTTGGGCCCATCGGTCTGCCAGACCATCTTTAAGCAAGACGGACCAAGATTTTCAGCTGGTTTTTAATTAGCGAGCTAGCCTAACCCGACCCATTTTTTGCAGGCCACTAGCGGGTCGAGTCTAAATAATCGGCCTATCCTATTTTGGCACCCCTACTTCTTAGTAGAGAACTTAAGAAACATAGAAAATAAAATTGAATCAACTCTTTAACCCAATGCACAATAAATTAACTCAACAAATCTTTGTAGTTGGAAACCTCTAAAATAGTTATGATATTTGACAATCCTTTAGACTATGTTCATTAACCATGAATTCATATAAATTTGAAATTGAACATAACAAATTCTTGATGATTGAAAATAACTTTTTTTTCCTTCAAATTAGTCGTAATTTATCTTTCTTTTTGCTTGAGAACAAACAAAGTTCAAGTGTGGGGAGGTTCTTAAACTATCAAGATGTTGTGCAAATAACCTGACTTATTGTTATTTTACCTTAATTTAATGTTAAGTTTTTTTACTATTTTACTTCTTTTATTACGTATGCAACAAATAGAAAAATACAAAAGAAAAAGAATGATATCAATGCAATTAAGGAATAAAATGGAATAATTATGAAAGTATGCTTCAAGAGAAGCATGCCTAAATGCACGACCATGTTACAAAGCATGACCAAGCTTACTAATATGCAAGGTCAGGCTTCCTTCAAAGTGCTCTTGAACAACAAAATACACTTTCACTATTGATATAGCATGCCTATGCTTCATGTTTTAATGAAGCACACTTAGCTTATTAAGCACGATTATGCTTGTTGATATGTACGACCATACTTAAAATTTTATCCAGATTTGTGACTATAAATAGGGATATCCAAAACAAATTATTTTTTTAATCCAGTTTTCATCTAGTTTTCTCTTGTTATTAGTTCTAGTTTTCTTTTCTTTTTTATTTGCTATTGAAGTTCTGTAAGAGGTTAAAGGTCAAATCCTCGAAAAAGAAATTTTTCTAACATGGTTAATTTTTTTTCCTTTGTTTAATGGGTTCTAGCTGCATGTGTGACAAGTTCTCTCATTTTAGGATTGTGATGCAATTGTTCCTTGTGAACTCGCAATGATGAATTCATGAATTGTTTATGTTAATTATCAAATTATTTTAGAGTATTATTTCTTATCACAATTAATTAGAAGTGTATAATCAAACTCTTTTAATTAAGAGAAACCTAAACTAATTGAATCTTGAAAATTGACATGATCAAGCTATTTTCTTAATTACCAATTGAATTAATTATTTAATTCTTTTCTGTGCACTTATATTTTATTTTTATAATAAAACTCTTATGATCAATTAGAATTTTTCTCAAGATAAAAACTGTTAGCTTCTTGAAATCATAGTATTGTCAATAATTTCATAAATAAAATTAATGACATTACTTATTAATTTATAAATTTTATCTTTAAGAATTAAGAATAATAAATCACATTTTAGAACTTTTATCTTTTTGAATTTTAATAACAATTTCTTTAATGTTTGTTCTTATCATTATTCTCTCCAATAAAATTTCTATTTTTTTAAACTGCTAAAAATCAATAATAAGTTGATAATTTCTACTAAATTTTATCCATTATTACTACTAAGATAAAATCCATTTGCCTTTAAACGCAACAAACACAACAGATACCAACCGAAAAAATAAGGCTAGTGATATAGGATGGCCTACCAACTTGGAAAGCTTTCGTACTCATGATAAGATTTACAGTGTGTTTGGTTTATCGTGAAAAAGTCTTAAACGGCCATTGAACGTGAAAGTAACAAAATGTTATTTCTCATTTTTCTGCTTTGAAATGAGAATTCCCGTTCACATCATTTTAAATGATAATCCAAACACGCTCTTCATAATATAAGATCTAGTGATATTTTAATACTATGTAATGTACTGACATACCGACGTAATGTAAGATCTTTCATTAAATAATACTAACCTATATACAATAATGCCCTAATATAACATTAAATAGGATAAAATTTAATGATTTATGCAAAGATGTCCTATATATAATAATAGCTAATATAACATTAATTTTTTTGAAAGAGCAAAGTAATATCGTATCCCTTCAAAGAAATGTATATGAAATGTTTACACACAAATAATATTCGTCTTAATATTTGGCTGGGCTGTTAGTGGGGTATGACGTTTTTTGTGAGAAAGAAAGGACGCTGAGGCCCAATAAAACTACAAAAAGACATATTACAGAGCATAAAACTCTTAAAACATCAAATAGAAGCATGTAACATCCCAAATAAGTAAAGATGACAGCACTCGTATAGTCGTATTGCTTCTCTGCTCTGGTGAGACTATAACTTCCCAGTTCTGAAGGAATTATCAGAAATGTTTCTCACTAACACTTCAGAATGAAACAGATCTTGGGGAATGGAAGATTGATTATCAGATTAGAATCCATTATATTTGGGGAGTGGCATCCCTTATTTATTAACAATATATTGAGGGTCAAAAATGGAGGAGCGGTAGTAACTATGTAATAATCCAATAGCTGTTTGTGCGATGATTTTGGTAATGAGTGTCTATTTATTAACAATGCATAATTTTCCTTATATCAATTTACGTATAATGAACGTGAATTTACGAATATGGATCTCAGAATGATGAAAAGGTATAGCAAAGGTATATTTCTGTTAGAATAGCAACTAAAATTTATCACCAAAATTGCAGGATGGCGTCATAACCATGCTAGACTCAATCACGCTATATACCAGAGCTAGAACAAACTAACGTAAGGATTCACTGAGACATGTGACGTGGCCATATTTTGAAATGGGGCTACTTTCCGAAAAGCTTTTAGTACCTAAAAGAAAAGATAGAATGAGCACGTTGTACTCCCCCTCTAACGTGCGTAAATCCTTCTGGCTGGATTAATTGGATTCTTTGTGTCACGTTGATAGGTGCATCTTCCCTGAAATAACGAATTTGCATAATTAGACTTGGAAGGTTTGCCAAAGAGCACTTGAACAAAAACATAAAATGGAAAGTGAAGAAATCAATAGCACTTTTAGAAAACCGAAGTGCAATTCAAGCACAAGATAGGCATAAACTGAGACTATAGGAAAGTTTTAATACCAATACAGGATGATAACAGGAGTATATGTCCAGTGCAATAATTATAAAATTTCATCCCTCCAAAAGAAAAACAGAACTAGTAAATAAAGAGATGAACAAATTAATATTTGGTTAGAAAACCTGACATGAAAAAAGCTCAAAAGAGGCTAGTCTCTGTGAAGAAACATTAACACTCATGTTATATTAGCTAAATATAAAAGTCATTCTTGAATTTTCACCTGACTGCTGAAGTTTTTAGGAGAATTGGACCTTGACAATAACATTTAAGTTTTAACTAAAGCGAGTATTTATATTTTTACCGCATTCGATAAGATTCTTTGATAATAATGAATGTTATATTAAAAGTCCGACAGAAGTATGAAATAAGATTTTTTGATAAATAAATAAATAAATAAAATTGCCAACAACCAAATCAATTGACTACAATACCACTTTTGTCAAAGCAGTTGATCCTGTTGTGTCACCCTTCTGTGAAACACCTCTTGAAATGCATTTCTGATTCGCTGTCACATTCCTTGTAGTAATCTCTTTTCCCTTGCTCGTCAAACTATTAACCTTGCTATTTCTTAGTTTCTCCTTAGCACCACCAGTACAAATGTTTTCTTTATTGACTGTGTGTTGTAACAAAGCCTTTGAACTTGTAGACGGGTATTGGACCTGCAAAATGTAAATCCACAATCCTTGATAAACATATACTCTAAATGGTCATGAATTATAACAAATTTGAGGATAGCTAAAAAATATATTGTGATATGTAGCTAGACAACTTAATTTCACAAAAGTGATGCACTCAAAAAATTAAATTTGATGCAGTTGACAAACATTTGGTGAAAAAAATTCTTAATACTCAATTAATTCGTGCTTCATATAGGACAGATTGCTACATAAGAGAAATACACGTCTATGGACAGTGCAGCTTCTCACCAATGACTTGGCAGTTCGATGGTATGCTGGCTTTCCAAAAGTAATATTACTTTCCTTTCTGTTACCAAATTTTGCAGATGTCTTTGATATTTCACCTGGCTTGCTTCGATTGTTAACTGCAAGATTCATTGCAACCTCACCTTTCTCATCTGTGATTTTCTCTCTCTGCTGCCTTGATACAAACTTAACTTCATAACCAGGGTTTGAACATGACCCAACACTAGATTTCCCAGTAGATGATTTACGGCCCCTTGATTGCATGCCATCACTATCAATCTCCACATTTGAAGCTTTTCCTAAAATATAACTTCTCCTTGTGCTAATAATGGATGAACTTCTACTTTTTTGATCACATGGTTGACTAGACACCTCCAAACATTTCTTCTGTGGCTGAATGCCCGATACTTTTCTCGTAACACAACTTTTCCCACGAGTAACCCTCATGACTAATGAACTGATTTTCTGATCACATGGTTGGCTAGATACCTCCCTATACTTCTGAGTGATATCAGATGTAATTGTGCTCCTTGTAGTGCTTCTACTTGTCTTCTGATCAGAACTTGAACTGACTGAATTGCTGCAACTGGCCATGAACTCAGTTTTTCCTCTGGCATTACGCTCAAAAACCAACCCCGACTTCCCACTCAACAATCCTTTTGGCCTGTTAACATCTAATTTTGATTTGGGTTTCACTTCCAGACCAAAGCCGGAACCTTGTTGGAAGCCTCTCCTACTCATACCCTTCTGTTTATCTAACAAATTATTCAGATCAACACCTTCCCACTTCTTGCTGTTGTAGTGTTTGCCCCTTGATCTCGAGACAGAAGAAGGAAGCTCTGGCGAATTTACTCCCTGCAAATCAACTCCTGATGTCAACATCTCCTCACCAGTCTGAGAAAACTTAGATTTTAACTCTCGAGCAGACATCTGGTGGAACCTGAAAATGATTTGTCGCGTAAGCAAACAAACACCATTGACAAAACAATCCCAAGCCAAATATCAAAACCCCCAAAAAATTTCCCACAGGTTCCTTACGGGTGACTTGTGTTGAACCAATCATCATCACCTCTGCAACATAACAAAAACTAAAAGTTCAAACAACAAACATAATTCCATAAAACACTAAATAGAACACTGAAAATCCAATAGAAAAACTCACGTGTCAACACCGCCAGATTTAGCTTCAAGAATCAAATCCACCCACATAGGTGCTTCAATATGCTCCTGAATGTCATGCAATTGCAACACACCAAAAAAGACAATCACAAATCAATACACAACTCAGAATACCACAACAGAACTAACAGCAACGAACAGAGAGATACAAATTGAAAGCACAATAGTAACTGAAAAAACACCACAAATCTAACATACGATGCCTTAAAAATAACAACAACAACGCATGATTATGGAATTCAAAATCTAAAATCTACGATTTTCGACAAAACGTTCCACAAACTGAAAATGCTTTTCCTGAGTGATCAGAACCAGCATGATCAAGAAACGCCCGCAAGGCAACATCACAAAAAAAACTATCAAGAAATTGCACGATCACAACCCTAAAAATGCTGACGAAAATGAACAAACAGAACAAGTGATTGAAAAATCACCAGAAAAGCCCAGTGATCGATGGTCTTCTTCTTGATCGCAATCCCTTTCTTCTTAGAAGCTTCCATCGTTCTCAAGAACTCTGCGAAAAACGCTTCAAGTGTGAGCGTTTGCTTGTTAAAGCGAATTTAAGGAACTCCAGAGAGCATCGTTGGGTTGAAATCGGAGAACATGGCGCGTGAAAACGAAGAAGAAGAAGCTGAGTGCGAAACGACGACGTTTGAGCTTTGTGTTTCTGATTCGCTGTCCACGTTAAACTAACGCCGTTGGATGATAGGAGCGAGTTTCGATGTACGGATGGGATCGTCCAGTTTTGGATGTTTCGGAATATTTGACCGTTGGCAAACCATTCAAAATGTTGGGTTTGGGCCTTGGAGGATAACAATGTACCCCAAAAGTTTTTTTCTTTTTAATATTGATGTACCCAAAAGTTTATCACACCGCAAATTAAAGAGTAAATAATTATTTTGAGTAATCATCCAAATAGATAGTTTTATTATTTTTTAGAGTAACATTCAAAAAGTACTTTTAAAATTGTACTCATACAAATTCTAAATTTATATTCTAAAAAATTATCATTAAAAAAACAATTTATTTTTTAAGTTTAATTATTATTTAGTTCTTATAATTTTATGATCTCTATTTTTTTTAAATTTTATACTTAAAATTACTTGTTTTAATTTTTATATAAGTATTTTTAGCTTTTATCGACCTTATTGTTAAATAAAATTTATGTTGTTAATTGTGAATGACGTGATGCTACTAATGTGACATTGATGTACATTGTATTTTACATTTTAGTTTTTATATTTGTTTTATTTTTTACTAGAGGGACTGAGCTATTCCGTGTCTCTAATAATTATACACAGATAAATATTAGAAATTGGGGATAGTTATTTTAAAAAGATATAAAAAGATTTTTTTACATTTTAAGGGGTATATTGATCCACTAAAAAGTGGAGACCAAAAAAATGGCTACTAAAATGTATCCCCTTTATAAATAAGTATAGATACTAGAGGGATCGAGGCACTTCATGTCTTTAACAGCTACACATATGGTTATATTTTTTTAAAATATATTTTATCTATTTTATTCTTTATGCATAAGGAGTTATTGCATAACCGAATGGGCAAAAAAGTCCAAAAAAATGAGGCGAAAGCGGTTATTTAAAAAAATATTTCCTTTATTAATAGTTATAGATATAGATTTCAATATGCATACATGTATTATGTTTACCTTTTATTCATGTGCTTGCACTTTATTTCTCTTTTATCTTAATACTTGTTTTATCTTTATCTTTTGATTTCTATACTTGTATAATCTTTATGTTTTAGTTCTCACACTTAGAAATTGCATATTTCAATCCTTATTGAACAATTTTTTTATGATTTAGTCTTTGTCAATATTATGCATTTTTCTTTTTCATCCTCTTTCTTCTTTCCCTTTTTTTTCCTTCTCATATTTTTTTAACAACATCTCCATATCCTTTTTATTTTGTGAGTTTTCTTTCTATTAAATTTTCTCATAACAACTAATTCTCATTGACCTTAAATTGGATAGTCTATATGTTGCAAAGTTCAAGCATTCTACTTAGAGAAGACGAGATAAATTGCAAGTAATGATTTATGATGTTAATTTTTGTAGTGACAATGACTTTGTAAATCATTTTAATCTTGCTACATAAAAAACTTGAATACCTAAAAGTTACTATTGTATTTATTTTCTAGACCATATAATGGTTCTACCATGCACCACCGCCAAAATCACTTTTGTAAGTTATGTGTTGTAGAAAAATTTTCATTTCCAAATTCCTAGCAATTTAACAATCATGATTTTTTTAACAATTTTATATCATCAATTTTGATTTTGTAGTTGTGTTGAAGAACTTAAAGTTAATGAACTTACATGGCTATTAACAATAAGGACCAAAGCATAACAAAAATGTCCATATAGTAGAGATACAAATGTTTAAGTGTTTGATGAAATACTAAAATGATTAAAATGATGCAATAAGGGTTTAATGCATCATATATCTGTAAGTGTTTTATGAAGCAAAATTAAAATGGAGCACCAAGCCTCCACCACTACAAGAAGTGTCAACAAAAATTGTTAAATGCATGTTACCTCATTTGTTTTCTATGTATCACATCTAAACTCTACAACCTCAAGATTGTTTGATTTTATGTCAATGGGGATTAATTATTGTATGAGTATTTAAAAGAATATTCTTGTATAGGGATTAAAATATGTAATTTATAAGTGTATGGACAAAAATGTAAAGATTGTGCAAGTATTGGGACCAAAAAGTAAAGATAGTTCAAGTATAGGAACTAAAACATAAGGAGCAACATGTGTCAACATCAAGTTAGTGTCACATTAGCTATCATTAATGACATTAATTTTTTTTTTTAAGAACATGCTTGTATAGGGACTAAAATGAATGTTTTCAAGTATAAGAACTAAAAGAGAAGGATTACCCAAGTATTGGAACCAAATATTTTATTAGCTTGTATTTGTTTAATCTTTCTTTCTTTAGTCATAAATTTATAGTCAAAAGGCTAAGGTAAAATACTAGAAGCCTTTTGGGTTATTATGACCTCTGAGTGTACTTAAGTGAAAGCGAGACAATATAACTATAGACTTTGTGGTTAGGTTACCTAGTTGGAATTGCAAAGGGTTTGGTTACCATTTAAGTTATAATGGATAGATTGACTTAATATGTTCATTTTATCCCAATAAACATTAGGTATACCTTGGAGAGATTGATAATTCTCTACATTAATGAGATTGTTAGATTGCACAATGTGTCGTTTAACATTGTTTCTAATAAAGATCCTAGGTTTACCTTTGTGTTTTAAGGGAATATACATCAACCTTTGGACCAAAATGAGGTTAAGTTCAACCCAACACGCACAAACAAATGACCAAACTGAGAGAAGCATCTAATCCTTATAGATCTTTGTTTGAGAGTATGTGTTAAAGAAAAGGGGTAGTTGAGATAGTTTCATGTGTTTGATAAAGTTTACCTACAACAATAACTACAATTCAAATATTGGGATGACATCCTACGAAGCCTTGTATAAGAGGAGATCCAAGACATCTTTATGTTGGAGTGAACCGATGAAAACCTTGTATAAAGGCCTAAAGTCGTGCAACAGACTATTAAAAATGTCAAGATGATCTAAGAAAGAATGAGATTAGCTAAGAGTAGGCAAAATAGTTATGCTAATTAAAGGAGAAATGACTTAAAGTTTTAGTGAGGGGATCATGTGTATTATTGAAAGTCGCTTCTTGAACTGGGGTTAGTAAGATATTGAAGTCTAAAAACCTTACATCTCACTTCATTGAACTGTATCAAATTCTAAAAAGAGTTAGCAAAGTTGTCTATCAAGTTGTTTTACCTTTAAATTTCTCAAACCTTCATAACGTCTTTCATGTGTCTCAACTTCAAAAGTATGTTCATGATCATTCACATGTGATTGAGTCAAATAACACCCAAGTGAAAGAGGACTTAACTTATGAGACTTGGTCAATGAGAGTTAGGGACCAAATGGTTAAGCAACTCATAAGGAAGAAAGTTCCTTTAGTTAAGGTTGTTTGTGGAAGAGCTATTGTTGGTAGTGTTACTTGGGAGCTTGAGAGCTAGATAAAGGAGTTTTATCCAAAAAAAATTGCTGGTAAAGTTCAAGGACAAGTTTTATTATAAGTGTGATACCCTCTACCCCAACATACATATACAATAATTATAAAAACATATTCTCGGGGTAATAAAATCTTTTGAATCAAAAGAATGATTCCGCTAAAATAAGAGTAGAGAATTCACATTCATAAACGTAAATCATGTTCAGATGCGGAATTTACAAAAAAAATGAAACATGAGTTTTTCCAAAACAAAATAACAATAATGAAATCCTAAACTAAGCCTAACTATGCCCCGATGTCACATATCCTATCAGAGCACGCCCAATTAAAGCCTAAGCCTCATAATCAACATCCTCATACTAACGATCACCTGCAACATAATTTAAAACACATACAAAAAGCAACAAGGGAGTGGGAAACATCTCACTCAGGTTCGGGTGCAAAAATAAAGGTTAGACAACACACACACAATAAATATAATACAAGTCACAAGCACAAATCACATATAAACAATACACATACACAACTAGTATCACATGCATACTCATTTATCATGCAATGATGTCAAGGACTCAACTCATAAATGCATGCATGTAGCGCCAATCACATGTCTCATAATCACATATCACGTGGTATGCTGCCGAAGCAACATACCTAGAGTAGTCTAAGAGTACATGTTGGCTCAACCGTGCACTCTCAACTAGAAGGATGTACTACTAGGGTCTCTTCGGGATAGCAAAGCCATGCAAGATACGTCCCATGTAGAGCTGTCAAAGTGGGCCGGGACCCGTGGGCTAACCTGGCCCACCTTGAAAACGGGCCGGGCCAGGCCAAAAAAATTAAAGTTTTATAGTAGGTGAGTATATTTCAACCCGGCCCACTTTGACCCGGCCCACCTAGGCTAAACACGTGGTGGGTCGGGTGGCCCACCAACCCACCATTTTTTTTTTGTAATAAAAATTTAAGTATGATTTGTAGTTAATTTTGTATGATGGTTAAAAAAATTTATTTTAGACTTTTATCATGATTTGTATTTAATTTTGTATGATGAATTATGACTTATGACTATTAATGATATTAATTTTATGACTATTATGTTAATTTATAATTAATTTAAAATTTTGAATTTTGTTGATAATTTTTTTTTTAATTTTTGGTGGGCTGGTGGGTTGGCCTGTATAACCCACCAACCCGTGGTGGGCCGGGCCGAGCCAATTTTTGTTTTTAAGAAAATCACAAGTGGGCGGGGTTGGGTTGGCTCGTTTTTAAAGTGGGTCAAGGTGGGCTGGCCCACATGGGCCGGGTTGGCCCGTTTTGACAGCTCTAGTCCCATGCACACAACGGGCAGAACTGGGCCTTCCAAACCGCACTCTCCCCTAGGACTCCTCCAAGATGTTTCACACTTGGAGGGTCTTCCCTAACAATGTACTCCATATCGTACCCCGTCACATAAATGCATATGATGCATGTCACACATTCAAAAACTCATGGATTCAACATTTTACTTGTCAAGGAATTTCATGTCTTATCTCATTTCATCATGTTTCACATTCTCATAATCATAGTATTCATAATAGCACGTAATTCACATCATGTCTCATGCATGTCACTTGTTCACATTTCTCATAATCATACTCATAAAATCATCATTTGGAGATTATTGTCATTATCATGCTC